CATAGTAGAAGTTCTGACTTCAGAAAGGGAGTCTGTTTTTGCAGCCTGGGGAAGAATTGCCATGAGAGCTGCTCAGCCTAAGGCTGTGAATCGCCAGCCTCTTCCCTCTAATGCCAATGCATTTCTGCCCGCAGTCACTGGTAAGACCAACAGCAAGGTGTGAGCACTAGGTGCTTGGTTAACAGCGGCGTGAGACAGAAGGGCAGTAAAGTGTCAGGGGACTGTAAAGTCTGAAGACGGTCAGGTGGGATGGAAGGTGGAGACTGGGTCAGTAGTTAAAAGCCATCCTTTACTTGCAAACTCAAGACCAGCCTGGTAATCAAAGATTACATCTTAAAAATGAAGCAAAATTAGATCAGTGGTTCTCAACTTTCCTAACCCTGTGACCCTTGATTACATTTCCCCATGTTGTGACCCCAACCATAAGATTAATTTTTTTTTTTTGCGGGAGAGGGTTTTGAGACCGGGTTTCCCTGTAGCTTTGGAGACTGTCCTAGAACTAACTCTTGTAGACCAGGCTGGCCTCGAACCCACAGAGATTCACCTGCCTCTGCCTCTTGAGTGCTGGGATTAAAGGTGTGTGCCACCACCGGCCGGCTTCGTTGTTTTCATTGCTACTTCATAACTGCAAAGCTGCTACTTTTATAAAATTTTTTGGAGGTTTGCAAAAGGGGTCATGACCCACAGGTTGAGAACCATTACGGTAGAAATTTGACTCACATAGAACTATTTATCTTTGCCTCTTGATGAATAGCAAGATCTTATTTGGACTAGTGACATAGTCTCATTGCTAAATATGGGAATTCCAATGTTCAAGGAAACGTAATCTAATAGTGTTTGTCAGCCTGAATAAAGTATATTTTCTTTCCTACTTAAGGCATTCATAGGGATTGGGAATGCCTTAAATAGGGTGCCTGATGTGTTTGAATCCCTGAATTAAATCTCTATCACCACATAAAGCTTGACTTCATGGTATGTACTTGTAATCCCAGCACATGGGAGGCTGACCTTTGAACTTGAGGGTAGTCTTTAGTGAGTTCCAGGCGAATGGAGACTACATAGGGAGACTTATTAAAGCAAGGTGTGTGGTTAATAATGATTAAATTAATTAATATTGTAGATACTAATTCTGGCATACATGTATGCATGCATACATACATACATACTACTGTATAGCTAGCAAAGATTTTTATCCTGTTTTATTAGCTGTCTTTTCTTTGTTTCCTTTGTTATACAGAAATGTTGTGATTTCATGAGATCCTATTTTATCAATCGATATTTCCAATTTATAAAGTTTTATTCAGAACGTTCTTCCCTATGTTAAAGTCTTTTCGTTTTCCTAACAGAGTCGGATCTTCCATCCATTTTAGAGCTTTATTTGCAGGGTGAGGTGGATCTGATTTTCAGGAACCATTCAGCAAAGAGCCTATTTTTTCCAGTGCATATTTGTGGCACCGTAGTTTATCTTAATCAGATGCTTCTGCATTATTTGCCGCTCTGACTACTAAGGACTGCATTGGGTCTCCAGGTTCCTTTGTGCTCCCATATAATTTTTAGATTTTTTTTCCTGTTTCTGTGAAGAACAACATTGGAAATTTGGGAGGTATATTGAAGGGTTCTCTGTAGCTTTGGATTCTGTGCTGGAATTCACTCTGTAGACCAGGCTGGACTCAAACTCAGAGAACCATCTGCCTCTGCTTCCCAAGTCCTGGTATTAAAAGTGTGCATTACCACTGGGCAGGTTTGTGGGTAATTTTTACAATTTTTACAATTTTAAAGCCATGGTGTGTGTGTGTGTGGGGGGGTCTCATCTTTTAGGATCTTCAATTTTTTTCAGACTTTTTAACATAGTCATTCCCTTTCTTGGTTACATTTATTCCAAAGTACATATTATGTATGTATGCATGCATGTATGCCATTGAGGCAACTTTTTTTTGTTTTTGTTTTTTTTTTTGTTTTTGTTTTTTGAGACAGGGTTTCTCTAGTTTTGGAGCTTGCCCTGGAACTAGCTCTTGTAGGCCAGGCTGGCCTCGAACTCACAGAGATCTGCCTGCCTCTGCCTCCCGAGTGCTAGAATTAAGGGTGTGTGCCACCACTGCCTGGCCCAGTCATGGCTTCTTAAATCATATCAGATACCCATGTTAGAACTGGGCGGTGGTATTAGTCATTGGGGAAAAAGGCATTTAATAACACTTGCTACCTTTCTTGTAGGAAAAGCAAGGGTTTGAGTAGCTTGCTCAGTGGTAGAAGTCTTTCTTAACATGCATGAGGTCCTGGATTTAATCTCTAGTATAGGACAGAAAGGAAAGTGGAATACAAGTATTAATAATAAATGGATAATGTAACTCATTTAGAAAAATATGCATTCTGCAAAGTAACTAAGATTCCTTTGAAACAGAATTTGGTTAGAACTGTCATCTGTACTGTTTTCCATGCATCTCACTCAATTTTTTTTTTGTGCTTAAATAGCATGTTATGTAAGAGTTTTGACAGTTTATAAGCTATCAGAAATACGTTTGATTTTTAGCAGACCATAGAGCGCAAATTCAGGAGTAGCTTTAGAGGAGAGGGCATGGAGCATTGTCTTGATCTTGTTTGTTCTCCTTCCCAGGACACAGGTGGTGTGTTGTTCACGGCAGACAGCTCCCTGCAGATAAGGAAGGCTGGGTTTGCCTGCAGTTGTACGCCGGTCATACCTGGGTTCCAGATAGTCCCCAAAGGATGATACCTCTCTTCATTTTACCAGCCTGTGTTTTCCCATCCCCAGGGGTGGAAGATAATATGCTGTGTCCTGAATGTGCCCACAGGTAATCCCCAAGCACCCCTCTCGGCATGGGAAACAGAAAAAGCAAGACGGTTAGATGAGCTTCTGAATAACCCAAGAGAAACCTGAGGTCAAACATCTTGCTGCCTTAATTTGCCATATAGATCAGATGGAAATGGGGACAGTGGATGTTAGCTGCTTTTAAGGGGTTAGGAATGTAGCTCGGTGAACACAGTGCGTGCTTAGCATAAATAAGCCTGTGAGTTCAATCCCCAGCACAGCATAAAACCAGAGGTAGGTGCATAGAGCCCTGACTGGGCTGTATGAGTTCCGGCATTAAAAATAAAATGAACATTAGTTCCTACTACATGTCTGTTTCTTGGAACTACAAAAATTAGTGAGAAAAATCCAAGCTGAAATAAAAATGAGTAAAGAAGGTGTGATTGGGGTAGCTCAGGAAAACTCAGGGGTGAGCAAGGCTGCCATATTGTCGTGATTGGCTACAAAGACCTAAAGGGAGTATACATTGGCCTTACAAATACTGCTTTTGATTTTAGTTCCATTTATTTCATTTGGGCTTGGGTTACTGATTATGGTTGGGGGCAGAGGCATGCTGTGACACAAATGATCAAAATCAGGTCCTCGGGTTCCCTGACAGGTGGTTTTACTTGCAGAGATCTGACAGCCCTGCCTTAGTCGCTAGAATTCAACATCTATCCACGAGTACAAAACCTGGAAACCCTGAGTGAGGGCTGGTGAGCAGAGCAGGCTTCACTCATTCCAGGATTCAGGAAAACCATCTCAGGGGCTCCCGATGTAAAACGGATTCCCTATTTGTTTGTTTGGTTTTGAGACAAGGTTGCAGGTTGACTTCAAATTCAGTGGCAATTCATCCACTTGCCTCTGCCTCCCTCCTCATGCTGGGATTAAAGGTGTGTGCCACCATATCCATCTTTTATCTTTGTTAAAGGAAAAGTTTTGCATTCTCCCCCTGGCAACTTTCTTTACAACCTTCTAACTTTTCTCTTGCAGCAATAGGAAGATGATGAGGAATTTCGAAAGGGACAAACGCACTGTAAAGAAACACAAACTGCTACCTCCAAATCTGCCACCTTAGACCGAGACCAAGGTTTTGTGAGGTGAATGGACGAGTCTTATAACTGGATATCCAACCATCCCTGCATTGGACTTGTGTAATGCTATTTTATTCATGGGGTCCAGAGAACAATTGGGGTGGAAAGATTAAAATTCCTGTCTTCAAGCAACTCAGTCTCAATTTTCAGAAAGTGCCTAACTGAACTTTAGAGAACAGGAAAGCAGTTCCTCAGAGAAGGTCCAGAAACCAATGAGTGTTTAAAATGATAAATAATAGGTGGACTCGTTGTTATAAGAAACAGGGTAACTTAAAGCCTGCTAGTCTGTTCTGAAAGACACCACTGACCATGTGCATTGACTTGAATACTGGGTTCTGATCTGGCTTAAAGGTGTGCAGATATTTTCTTATTCCCTGAACAATCCAGTTCATTGTCTACTTAGACAGTAGTACATTGTACTAAGCACCACACATAATGGTGAGATTACGGTACATGCGTATAATATGGTACATGCACATGAGAGAGACAGGTAGATCTCTGATTTCCAGGTCAGCCAGAGTTACATGAAGTCCTGTCTCAGAAGCAAGGCATGGGGGACGAATACTGAAGAATGGTTGGTGTATACAAATCCTTTTCCGCTTTGTTTAGAGGACTCGAGCATCTTGAGGATCAGTGCGCAGGTGTGGGGCAGTTCTAGAGGCACTCCCCTAGCACTCGTACATTACACAGAACTAAGTATTTTCACTCCTTTTCACTGTCTTTGTTATTTATGTGTATGTACATAAATTTGCTTGTCTGTGTGTATGTGTGGGTACCATGGAGACTAGAGAATGTTGGAGTCTCTGAATTTGGAGAGGTGAGGTGCTTACTGTGGGCTAGGCAGCCAAACATGGGTCCTCTGGAAGAGCAGCAAGTGTTCTTACAATTAGAGTTGCTGAGCTGTTCCTACACACACACACACACACACACACACACACACACACACACACACCCGAGCCAGGCAAGCATAGGAAATAGTTTAGCAACCTGGGACAACACTTTGTTTTGGTTACACACAAACAGACACACACACACGCACACATACACACACACACCCCTTTCTGAACAGTGTACCCAGCAATGTGTTAGTGATCTGAACCTTGCCACCTTCTCTGAGATGCTTGCACACTGTGTGTGAAGGTAAAGGGACAACTTAGGATAGTCAGGGTCCTCCTTCCATTTGAACTAGAGATCAAATGTAGAGTGTCAGTTTTTGGCAGAAAGTGCCTTGTTTCACAGGACCACCATCTCACAGGGCACATATTTCTTTATAAGCATAACATCTCATTGTGTGTGCATACCTCATTTCCCGTATTTGTTAGACCTAGGCTGTTTCCATCGCCTAGCTATTGTGATTAGCAGCAAACAGGGATGCACAAGTGTCTTCGGGCATAACTTCAGGAGTGGGATACCTGAGTCCTGGTAGTTCTGTATTTTAGTCTGAGGAACCTCCGCACTGCTTTCCATAGGGGCACAGATTTACATTTGCACCGGGCATAAAAAGCTTCCTTTCCCTCCATCTCTAGCATTTGTTGTCATTTTTCTGGCTGGTAGTCATTCCAGCTGTGAGCTGGAATCTCAGTTTAGTCTAAATTCCATTTCCCCAATGGTTAAAGATGGTGAACTCTACTTGAGACATGATTGTCAGGCCTTTCATTGTAATTTAACTTTGCATTAGAAATATCACTTGTCTTTTCAATAGTGTATTTCATCAAGACAGTGATTATACTGGTGTATTTCATGGTGTCCAACAAGGTTGTTAATATCTGTAATTCACGTCCCATAGAGAATTCTACAAAAGAAGTCTATGGGTGCAATTATCCCTTTACTGACAATTTTGATAATGTATCTAAGAAATTAAAGAGTTTCCTTACCCTAAACCACACGGTCCTTGGTTCCTTCAGCTATTTCCTGACTCAACTACTATTTTCAAGTGATTATTCACAGGGTAATTCTATTTCCAGCTGAGCATGGTGGCTAATGCCTGCAATTTTATCATTTGGGAGGTGAGGCAGGAGGATTACTGTGAGTTTGAAGCTAGAATGGGCTACAGTGATCACCTCATCCCTCCACCCCCAAGTGATAAGCCTCCTTACCGCGAATGATAATTCTATTTCAGGAATGCTCTCTGTTGGGTAAATAGTTCCTTTGGGCAGGGTGTCTTTTAAATATATTTTAATGTAGGGATAACATGAAGGTTAAGAAAGAAAGAAATTAGAAAGCCTATAAGACATTCCTGAGAGCATGGGTATGGATGTCTCTGAGAGTCTCACAAATTGCTTCTGATCCTCCTGCCTCCACTTGAGGGCTGAAAGCAAGGACTACAGGTGTGTGCCATCACCCTAGTGATGCCTATGGTGACAGATCCCATCCATGGCTTTGTGCATAGTAGCAAGCCCACTAATGGTTAAACTGCATCCTTAATACTCCCAGTGTCATCTTTCTCCTGGAAATCTCAATAACCTGGCTTTTCATGACCTTTTAAGGAGAACACCATTTACATACTGTCTTTGAAGCACATGGATTCCTATGCTTATTTTGTTTATCGCTCCAAAGGTTGCCTCAGGTTTGACCTGGGGAGCATGCCTTTAATCCCTGTTCTCAGGAGCTGGAGGTAGGAGGTCAGAACGTCAAGGTTGACTATACAGGAAATTCCGGGCCTGCCTAGACTACTGGAGATCATCCTGTGTCAAGAAAGGAAAAGTTCCTTCAGCTGGTCTAGTGGTGCACACTTGCAATTCCAACATTTGGGAAACAGACAGGGGAATGACGATGGGCTAAAGCACAGACTCAGCTATATATTGAGACCGTCTCTCAAAAATGCAGACGAAAAAACAAGTTGATGCAAGTGAAGTCTGTATTTGAGTCTTACAATCCCAGGCCTCTGGAGTTGGCAAAGATGCTTCTAAGAATGCTAGTCACAAATTCATGCCATCAATCCTACTTTTTAATCTTTCCCTTTTATTGAAAGTAGACTTTTTTTAATCACATAATATATCTGGATTATAGTTACTCCTTTCTTTACGCCTCCAAGTCCCCCTCTCCCCTCTTGACACAGTATCTCATTCTGAAACACTGGCTGACCTGGAAATCACCATGAGGCAAGATGGTCTCAGACTTCTAAGATCCTTCAAGTATGCTGCAAGGCTCATACTTACCATTTATTTATTTATTTTTTTAAAGAAATATCAGTGGTATATCTTCTAAGAAATGCTATGTTTGAGGAAATATGACCAGAACTACCTTCAATAAAACATTTTCTATTTATATCAAGTGAGTAATCCAGTCTCAGAAAGATAAAAACCCAAACAAAAAGCTAAAGCAGATTTTTTTTTTTAAGTTTTGTCTATGTGGATGTGCCTGTGGGAGTTTGCGAATACCCAAGGGTTCAGGTGCAGGTTCAGGTGCCTGTGGAGGCTTAAAGAATGCTCTGGAAATCCCAGAGCTGGAGTTACAGGCTATTGTGAGCTGTCCTGCGGATGCTGTGAAAGAAACCTGGGGCTGTGGCAGAAGCTTAAGTGCTTAACTTGAATGTGAAAAGGCAGGCGCGGGGAAGGAGGACACAGGGAAAGGGTGGACAGGGACAAAGCCGGAGAAACAGAGAAACAACAAAAGCAATGTTTGCTTGTAAAACGGCCACAATGCAACTAAATTTCTTGTAAACTAATTAAGAAAATAACTATAGCCAAATTCTTGTTAAGTGTGCCAGAACCAAACTTGGTTCTGTGTGCTGAATGATGTGGAAATTTATATACAGTTTATGATTTAGCAAGTCACTTGGTTTCCATATATGAATATAATTCCCTATTTTTAACTCAGTTTGCTTGTTTGTTTGGCTTGCTTTTGGGGCCAAGGTTTCTCTATGTAGTGTTGACTGTCCTGGAACTTGCTCTATAGACCAGGTTAGCTTCAAACTCAGAGATCCTCCTTGCCTCTCTGCCTCCCAAATGCTAGGATTAAAGGCCTGGGCGCCTACCACTCGGCTTTAATTAAGTAATCAATTACTTTAGAGAGACAGAGTCTAACTCTGGAAGATTTTGCTTGTTTGTTTTTTGAGATAGGGTTTCTTTATAGCTTTGGATACTGTCCTGGAACTAGCTCTTGTAGCCCAGGCTGGCCAGGAACTCACAGAGTTCCACCCGCCTCTGCCTCCTGAATGCTGGGATTAAAGGTATGTGCCAGCAGTACCAGCGATTTGTTTTTATTATTTTAATCATGTATATGCATGTGTATGCATGCACATGAATGCAGGTGCTTGCAGAGGACTGAGGTGTCAGATCCCCTGGAGATATGGTTCCAGGCAGCTGGGAGTCAGCTGATGAGGGCACTGGGAATAGAACTCAGGTCTTCTGGAAGAGAAGAAATGGACGCTCTTAAGCGCCGAGTCATCACTAGCTATTCTCTCTCACTGTTTAACTTGCTTTTCTTGTGTGTGGATGTTTTGCCTTCGTGTATGTTTGTCTGCCACATGCCACATGTTCCCGTGAAGGCTTGAAGAAGGTGTTAGGTCCAGGGAACTGGTGTTACAGAAAGTTGTAAACTGCCCTAGGAACTGAACGAGACTCCTCTGGGAGAGCTGCCACCCTTAGAAAGAAAAGAAAGTGTGTCGCGGGTTAAACTTCAGAGCTGGGACCAACCTACCAGGCAGTTCGTGGTTTAAATATTTGGGGTGATCTTTACGTAGAATAAGAAAGTAACTATCTTCTGCGTGAGCACCTCTTCTGCACCCGATACACAAAGGAAAAAGGGTGCAAAAGAGAGCCCTGTTAGCTACGGAACAGACGCTGGAGGGATTAATCACCTATGACAAATGTTCACTGTCCCCCTAGGGCTGGGTGCATCGGGCTATTTTGAGCAAACCCTATCTATCAGTGTTGACCCATAATAGCACCCATCCGTTATGTGACTTTGAAATATGCCTGATGAGGTCAGCTTATGGCCTGCTTGGCTCCAAATTACCAGAAGACTAACATGCCTGTCGCTC